AAAATACAAGAAACAGAAGCCGCGAAAGTTACAAAAGTCACGCTCGCGAGCAAACAATTGCATCAAGGGGTGCTAATAGACACACATCCTCTCTCCTTTTGTACAGGCGTATCCGCGTAATAGCTTATTACACACTATCGCGCGCGCCACGGAGACGGAAAAAGAGCCATTAAGACCATTAGGCGCATGGTCCGGTAGCCAGTTGGATAAATATACACATAATGTAATACCCATCCGCGCGCGCTCGGAGCTTCAGCGTCGCCATGCATATATTTGATCGGGCGATTATACCCACAGGTCCCCCCGTGTATCTTACCGTCGCGCCTTTTCATCTCCGTGCTCCGTTCTTGGATGTGTTTGCCGTCGGCAAACAGCCCATCACAGCGGGCAAACACACGCGCGCACCACCTTTTTTGGGCTACGCCTTTTTTCCTTTTTTTCTCCTCCCTCCTCTCTGGCCTCCATCGAGCTTCGAGAGAGCAATGGCACGCGGGAAATACCAATAAACGACCATACGCATGTGTATGCGTGGATACACTCCTCCTCCTTTATTTACACAATAGGGCCATACGAGGCAGCTTTTGTTTTCTATTCCTCGAAACTGGACTTGGACCACCTTTGATTTTCACCGATGCTTCTGCGGCGGCTACTTTACATCACTATTCGTCGTTGGTCCTTTTTGTCTCCCCTCCTCCCCCCACCGCCTCTCTCACGGAATCCCACGCTAGCTCGCATCTAATTTTTCTCCGAGAGGACATCTTCTCGAGCATTGGGTCTTTATCCATTCAGATCACCCAAGATTAATAGTCGCGCGGTCGAGTTCGGTACTAAAAAAAGGAAAAAAAAAAAAAAAAAAAAAAAAAAAAAAAAANNAAAAAAAAAAAAAAAAAAAAAAAAAAAAAAAAAAAAAAAAAAAAAAAAAAAAAAAAAAGAATAAGGATAAACAGGCCATCAACTAAACCGTCCATTTTCAAATTTCTTTTCCCACAGGTGTGGTTCCAAAACCGCAGAATGAAGGATAAACGCCAGCGTCTGTCGATTTGGCCATACCCTCTGTACGCGGACCCGCAGCTGACAAGTGCGCTTTTGGCGGCCTCGATGACCATACCCGGTTATTCGCCAATCACACCACCAGGTCCAAGCCACTACGGGCCCACTTATGCTACGGCTGCCTACTACGCAGCGCGATTCTCACCTTACGGTGCCACCCCCTTGTCGCACCACCACCATAGACCACACGCCCACCACGGCTACGCGGCTGCCCATCCACACCTACTTACAGCCCCAGGCCCGCACCACCCGACGGTTGCTTCCCTACCGCCCCTACACCTCTCAGGGCTTGGCACGATGCAGCCCGCACAGCAACAGCAAGCGTCTTACGTCGGGCCTACAGTCAGCAGCGCCTCGCAAATCTACACAAACAACGTGCTGCCCTCGTCTCAGATGAGCCCCCAGTCGGACGCCTCCACTTCCAGTGACTGCGACTACAATGGAAACATCACCGTGAGCAGCGCCACCTCCTGCGCCACCACCACAACTTCGCCTAGCAACAACAACAACAATATCGACAAGAGGCTCGTGGCACCCGTACCTTGCAAGCCCTCCGTTCCCGCTGCGTTGCACTTTTCTCCGGACAAGATGCCCATCAGTCAGGCCGTGGCAGCTTTCTACAGCAACATTATGATGCCCGAGAACAACAACAACAACAACAACAGCAGCAGCAGCAGGTATTACCACCACATCCCGGCCAGCTACAGGACTCCGAGCATCAGTCCGACGAGCGACATCAAGATCAAGTCGTCGCCCAAGCTCTTCCAGCCGTACAAAAACGACGACGTTCTCACGGCCGCGGAATAAACGACTTCTACGGGAATGTCGACTAGTATGGCGCTCGTGCTCCGTTGTTATTGTTGTTACGTTTTTAAGAGAAGGTGCGGTATATGTTTCTTATTTTTTATTTATTAACTTCTGCGATTATTAATTCTGTAGGGGAGGGTTGGGTAAGCTTGTCCATCACCTGATTGCATTTTTATTAAAAGGATTTATCAACTCCTTGAATAGTTTTAAAGAAAGTGGCTAGCATGAGCTTCTTTTCGATGATATATAGTAACTTTAAAGAGTTACTGAATTTTCAAGAAAATAAATATTGAAGTTTTAATGTTCAATTTTCCATTCCGGAGCGATTTTTAAATAACCGGGAGATAACAAAAAAGTACCATATACAGACTGATGAATTTGCCTACAGTAAAAATTGAAAATAAAAGTTTTTGTTAAACTTTTTGTTTTTTTTTTCAACGAAATTAGTACACTAGATTTACTTAATTTACCAAAAACAAAAAAAAAGCAATATTGGGTAGATTTGCTCACGATAGTGGGGCTTATTTAGCACGAGGGCGTCTGGGGCGCGTGTTCGTTTGCATGTCAACATAACCTACCCATTGGCAATGTAAATAGTAAAAGACTAAGTTTAAGTTTTTACAGCTCATGCTTTAGGAAATTTACCACACAGTTGTGAAAAATTCATGAAGCTCAGCGCGGCATCAACACAACATTAACTCATCCTTGAACAAAAACCAAAATTGTGCATGATATACATGTTCATAGAGTTTTCAAAGTCAAATGAGTTCGTGTTTGTAGAACCGCTTGTATAATTTCTAACAACTGTTAAAAAATTACCAAAGCATGCGAAAGTGTTCCTAGCACTAGACATTATTTAAAGTGAGAATATTTATTAGAACGTTTAAGCATGATTGCTTACACATTATTTTCTCGTTAACTTTGTACGATGTATATTATAGAGATAAACATTATTATTTATTGCTCATATTCAGATGCGATCAAACCAAATCACCACAAGTTATAGTTGAAATTGATGCAATAAAAAATGTGTTTCTGTGATTTATTATAATAATGAAGACTGATCAAAAACTTAATAAAAATGATCATATGTTTTGTATATATGAAGTTTTATTTTATTTTTAACAAAAAACATGCGATATTACTTTTTTGATCATCATCACTGATACAATCTGCCCGTGCCAAATGAGCCCCACCCTCTGGCGTTAACTCCACAATTGGGGTAAATACAGGCAATGTAACTATATTGTTTTAACCTAAAAATATTACGTTAGGTGAAGTAATTGTTTCTCTCATTATTCAACAAAAATCTTTTCGTTTGTATTGGCCATGGATTACTGTTCAAACAAGCGTTTGCATTTATTTTGCCAATAACGACCCACTCTCCCCTGTATATTTCGTCATTATTGCTGATACATTGTTGATTATGTCAATATGCTGTTTACATTGAGAGTTGGCTTCGGGTATTACGATCTCGTCACTGCCGTTCGTTCAGTCTACCCGCCGACTCAATGAGTATTAATTATTACGTAAGTGGATGATGTGTTTGTAAATAGTATGAATAGAGCAAAGGAGATTGTACATAATTATAAAAGCTACTTGATGTGTCAAGGAGATCGATTTACAATGATTTGTGCGAATGAGAGAAGTGTACTAACGCGCACACGCGTGTTTTTTTTTTTTTTATAGATGTACTCTGTGTCGATGTGCACTATGTTCCATTTGTTCGTTAACTTATTCTATAGACACTCTTGGTACGTTAGTGCATATATTTAAATGTCTGCTGAAATTTGTAAACTGTGTTTACACCGACTTGGTAGGATAATTGAATACGAAAAATGGCATATGAGTATCATAAACATTTGAAACGACTTGATGGAATTTATTGTATTTATATGAATGTCTGTAAATAGTCTTAGCGAGTAAGATATTCCAAAGAATATATAAAAATACTTGAACGTATAAAACATGTCTATTGATTTTATATTTTTTTCCATAACCTTCTTCCCCACCTTTTCTTCCATTTTTTTTTTTTTTTTATAAAAACACAAAAATTCAAAAAAGAATAAGGATAAACAGGCCATCAACTAAACCGTCCATTTTCAAATTTCTTTTCCCACAGGTGTGGTTCCAAAACCGCAGAATGAAGGATAAACGCCAGCGTCTGTCGATTTGGCCATACCCTCTGTACGCGGACCCGCAGCTGACAAGTGCGCTTTTGGCGGCCTCGATGACCATACCCGGTTATTCGCCAATCACACCACCAGGTCCAAGCCACTACGGGCCCACTTATGCTACGGCTGCCTACTACGCAGCGCGATTCTCACCTTACGGTGCCACCCCCTTGTCGCACCACCACCATAGACCACACGCCCACCACGGCTACGCGGCTGCCCATCCACACCTACTTACAGCCCCAGGCCCGCACCACCCGACGGTTGCTTCCCTACCGCCCCTACACCTCTCAGGGCTTGGCACGATGCAGCCCGCACAGCAACAGCAAGCGTCTTACGTCGGGCCTACAGTCAGCAGCGCCTCGCAAATCTACACAAACAACGTGCTGCCCTCGTCTCAGATGAGCCCCCAGTCGGACGCCTCCACTTCCAGTGACTGCGACTACAATGGAAACATCACCGTGAGCAGCGCCACCTCCTGCGCCACCACCACAACTTCGCCTAGCAACAACAACAACAATATCGACAAGAGGCTCGTGGCACCCGTACCTTGCAAGCCCTCCGTTCCCGCTGCGTTGCACTTTTCTCCGGACAAGATGCCCATCAGTCAGGCCGTGGCAGCTTTCTACAGCAACATTATGATGCCCGAGAACAACAACAACAACAACAACAGCAGCAGCAGCAGGTATTACCACCACATCCCGGCCAGCTACAGGACTCCGAGCATCAGTCCGACGAGCGACATCAAGATCAAGTCGTCGCCCAAGCTCTTCCAGCCGTACAAAAACGACGACGTTCTCACGGCCGCGGAATAAACGACTTCTACGGGAATGTCGACTAGTATGGCGCTCGTGCTCCGTTGTTATTGTTGTTACGTTTTTAAGAGAAGGTGCGGTATATGTTTCTTATTTTTTATTTATTAACTTCTGCGATTATTAATTCTGTAGGGGAGGGTTGGGTAAGCTTGTCCATCACCTGATTGCATTTTTATTAAAAGGATTTATCAACTCCTTGAATAGTTTTAAAGAAAGTGGCTAGCATGAGCTTCTTTTCGATGATATATAGTAACTTTAAAGAGTTACTGAATTTTCAAGAAAATAAATATTGAAGTTTTAATGTTCAATTTTCCATTCCGGAGCGATTTTTAAATAACCGGGAGATAACAAAAAAGTACCATATACAGACTGATGAATTTGCCTACAGTA